CGATAGCTACTATCATGGAAATTCTTCGAACGAACTACATTATTTTGTTCGGTCGGATCAAGCCTTTATGTTTAGGACCAGCCATGCAACTTATCTTGTAGCAAACGGACCACATCCCCTCCGTATTCAATCGATAAGAACCCAGTTTTACTGGAACAGCTTTTTTCCTAGAACCACTGCTATGTGGAACCGACTCCAAAGAGGATGTTTCTGCTATTTCTACCATCTTAACCTGTTCAAGTCTTGGTTTAACCGTTATCGCTCTTTCTCTCTCTCCCTCTCTCTCTCTCTTTCTCTCTCTCTCTCGTCTCCGTATACATTGCCTCCTAACTTAACCCTCAAATACGTGTGGCCCCGAGGCTTTATACGAGGTAAATCTTTCTGTACAAATATGGAGTATACTGACGCAAACATTATAGCTATATGTGACACTATTTAGGGTTGCGTGAAAAGAAAAAAAGAAAAAATTAGATGATAAGAAAAGACGATGTTATTTTTTTAACAAGGAAAAGTGGTAAAGATTTTATTTTCATTAGCGAAAAAAGTTAGGTCGCGGTTCTGCCGGTTTAATTTGATTTATGACGACGCACCGAATAAGATATGGCCATCTGCCCTTGGCAATAAGGAAAATTTCAGGTTGGTCAAGTGGCCTACGAAACAGAAACTGAGAGATAAAAATTGATTGGATCGCGAGAAAAATGTTCGTTGGACCACCCAGGTTACAAAGAAAGAAAGACTGACCCATTAGCTATCTACGGAGATGTCGTTTGGAAAAGGCACATGTTTCGTGTTAAGAGCTGGCCATGATAGCAAAATTATTTTATCAGAACGAATAATTGGCTGTGGATATCGCCAGATGACCACCCACTTGTTTGGCGAAGGTCTCGATTGATAAAGTCCAGGTGACATTCGGTTAAGATAAGAGTCTAAGGATTTGTTGTCGAGAAGAAGAAAAAGAAAAAGGAAGATAATTTATTTTTTTCTTTGAGCAAGATTTTTTAAACCGAGGCCAAACGGCCACACCCACACTGCTAGACGTCCATTGGCTGAATGGTGGCGTGAGCGGTAGGCGAAGGTAATCATGTGAAGAAGGAGGTGAGGCCTGTTGACGCCCCCCTGAAGGGATCGGTGAGAGATGCCACTGTGAGAGAGAGAGGAAACCCGTTGACACCCTCTGAGGGTATGGGTGAGATACCAATATGAGAAATGAAGAATTTGGGAAGACGAAAGACTTCCAAAAATGGAAATTAATAATTCTTCCTGACCGAGAACAAAGAAAAACCCTTAATGCGGATTTAGAATTATCAAGGAACCTCAAACCCCGACTAGCCCACCCCGGTTTTGGTAGGTGTCCATATAATCAGAGTCGCAACGAGTAAGACGGCAGTTCGCAGTTGGGGTTGGAGACAGACAGAGTTAGCAGTTCGCAGCTGAGTTGAATTGAGTTGGGTTGGAGTTGCAGAGTGAGGCCGCCTCGCAGAAAGCTGACTAAGATTCCACGCAATCACGACCTCAACTTATAACCAAGAACAATTTATTTTTGAAGAACGACTTAGAATCACACCACCAAAACAAGTTTTTCGAATATCACCTGAAGACACCAAGAACTGGGTTCTTAAAGAACAAACAACTTAAGATGTTAAGACTCGTCTAACAAACTCAAAGTGTCACGAATCCATATAGCGGTTTGGGAGAAAGACGCAGTCCTGTATTCAGCAACCAGATATAAAATATTTTATTCCTTTTTAACACATTTGAACTTTTCGAGTTATTACTTTATTTTCTTTTACATATACTTGTGCGTTATTACCCTTGTTCGGACTCGGCTTGCATTATGACTGATTGATTTCGTCTACCTAAGATCAAATCACAACGTGTGTAGGTTAGACTAGAGATCAAAACAGTTACTTCGGTAACCAGACGTTGGAGGCGAGCTGGGAACAACAAGGCTGATGCCGAATCTAACCAGGTTCCCATTCAAATCAGCAAAAGGTTAGAACGTCACATTTGGTGCTGCGACCAATACCAAGTCACATTGGTCGTCACAGGACAGGATAGGACGGCGACGGCGACGGCGCGGAGACAGACGGGGTGACGTCACAATTGGCGCCGCGACCAGGACAGCACGGCGGGCGCGGCCAAGCAGACGTCACGTTTGGCGCAGCGACCCCGGGGGACGTCACATATATTTATAGGACTTTTGCAAGCTGAGTGTTGCATTTAAGTCACAAGAGCCAAATGTAAAGTGTCCAAGTAAAGAAAGAAATTTAAAATTGAAGGCTGAACATTTTTATGTCTGATCTGACTTGCGTACTTTACAATCGTAGAATTACGATTCTGGATCTGAAATAAGAACGAAGAAAATGTTAGTCAAAATTAATAATAAAAAAGCATGATAAAAACAGAAAGAATTAAATAAAAACTTTTGACGTAAAAAACAGAATATTTTAGAATACGTTTCACTCGTAAAAGTTAATTAAAAATTAGGATGAAAAGTGTTTGTAGTTTTTTTTTTTTTTTTAGAAATATAAAATAAGTATTTTAGTCAAGAAAGGTTGAAACCTTATTCAGGGCTAGTTTTGATTTCATTAGAATCATTTATAAACATTAATTTGTTGTTTCTAGCAATCAATGGTATAGATAAATGATCTCTATTTCGATTTCATTTTAAACTAAGCAAAATTTAATTCACAATTCACTATTGTTTTTCTGTGTAAAAAAAAAACATGACAGAATACTAAATCCCGATAGTGTTTCAGTCAAACATAACATTTATTCTCAATATGAATATCTACAATGCAAAAACTATATACTTATGTTTCATCTATGACAAAGGCACATTTGATAGGGTCGAGGATAAAGAACTATTTGAAATGCTAAAAAAAAAATTAAAAAAAAATAAATGATTAACAGGGAAAAGATATTTGAGTAATCTCTAACTTTTACTGGGAGAAAACGACTGGTATGTGGAAAGAAAACGATTTAATGATTAGTGAGAGAAGTATGGGTTTTCGTGGCAGAATTATGTTACCTACGCAGCAGGTCTACCTGAATTTATTATTGACTGACGTAATGTTAACGACATAAGATAATCGGATGAATCACTGTTGATGGTCGACTCAAGAAGAATACTGTAAAAAAAAAACATCTATTACACAAGACTGTGTATACCAGCAAGCAGAAATATTTCTTCTCCCGATGATGGCCATTTTGGCCGAAACTAGTCGAAGAAATCTAATTGAAATAATAATAAAAAAAAACCGAAAGAATATTAATTAATCTACAACCCAGTGTCTGAAGATTTTAATTTTTTTAATATTTTTTATTGTTTAATATTTTTATTGTTTAATATATATATATATATATATATATATATATATATATATATATATATATATATATATATATAGTGTGTGTGTGTGTGTGTGTGTGTGTGTGCAAATATATAGGAAAATAGGAAAGAACACGTTAGGTTATTCATCCGAAGTTCTTTAGTATTTTTTTTTTATTTTTAAAAAACAGTACTCAATATATAAATAGAGACTAAGTTATAATTACTTTTTAAAAATATGATTCCATCGGTACATAAGTGTGCTCATGTTTCAAAAACAGGAGCTAAAAACTTCAATTAAATTATAAAAATTTTATTGAATTAAAGTATCAAGCCCTGTTTCGTCTTCAAGCGAAACTTTTGGAATCAAAAATTTTTGGAATCAAAAACTTTTGGAATAAAAAAATTCGCTCATCAGACAAACTTGTGTATTTTTTTTAAAATTGGAAGATTGGACCAAGCAAAAAGTAAAGTACAATAGAAAGTATGAGGAAGACTTCAGAAGAAAGTAAAAGTTGAACAACTTATTTACATATAGAAAAGAGATTTGAGGAAAGAACATGGGCAGATTAAGTGAGGGCGATTTCCTTCCGGATTATTCCAGGAGGAGAGGCAGATGAGTTTTCTCGCCGGAGTAGATGCTGCGGTTAGAGTATGTTCCGTGCCGGTGGCCTTTTCTCCACCCTTGTGCCCCCTGACCCCGTTGCGTAATATCAAATGCGTTGACTAGCTCAAACAAGTTATGACTAGCTTTGACATGCTCTGACCAGCTTAGACCAGGTATGACCAGCTTAGACCAGCTGCGCGTGTGGAAACACTCGGATCTCCACGTTAAAAACCGACCTTGTGTCACAACCTCAGTTTAAGGTAACTATCGGTCAGAATATGTGAGTAACGAGGGAATATTTTAGGAAAATAGGAACTACAAGGAAACCGAAAATTACAATAAAAAAGAAACTGATGAAAATTCGAGGACACCTGGTGAGGAAAGAATTTTTGGAGAATTTAACCTTCACGTGAAGTACTCAAGGTTCGGGAAACACTGGGAACCATTGAATAAACTAAATATACAGCTTTTCCGAACAGGTCGAAGAAAAAAAGACAAAAGTGATGTTAAGTGTTTAAAATAACTTAGAACAAAATAAATGATCGTGAGTCCTGATCGTCCACCTAAAATGACTTGCCATATAAAAGACAATGATGTGAATAATTAGTGGATGAGAAGATTCTACTGAGTTAGAATGCGTAATCTAAATCCTAAATTCTGAAAGATCCGTAATTTATATGGTCTAATAATGGATAATCCGACCTCTAATCATGGAAGTCGGTCAATGGCGCTGTCACATGTCTTTTATAAAAATTCTGATTAGAATAATGAGTGAGGTTGCCAGTTAATACATATTAAAATAATTCGTTCTTTAGAAAAAGCAGAAGTAATTTCTTCGAAATATCCACTCGCTAAACAAAACAAAAAAAGAGTTTATTTGGAAAGTCCGTTAAAAATACGATGTTTGTGGCATTTGGGAATGGATAGAGAAGTGATGACACTTTTGAGGTTTCTTTGATTGGCCAACACTCTCTAATTAAAATAATTAATGAAAACGAAATCCTAGAAATAAGAAAACAGTGGCCTGAAATATTGTTTGTTAATTGTCGAATCTAACTCCGCTTAATTAATGTAAAATATAAGGAAAGAGAAGAAAAAGAAGGAAATTGAAGAAAAGAAAGAAGACTGAATAATGAAAGAAAAAAGGCGAGAAAAGAAAAATGAATGAAATCGAAATGAAGAATCAAGAATGGTAAGCTAAAAGAGAATACAGAAAAATGAAATCAAAAATGGTGAAATGAAAAGAACAGGAACCGAGAGAAAAATGAGTGAAAGAATGAATTGAAGAAATATATAAGGAAGGAAAAGACAAAAGAAGGGAGCAAATGATGAGTTAACCAATGTTAAAATGATAGAACAAGTGATTAAATAAATGAATGAAAAATGATGAATACTAACTTTAGCATGAGGGAGAACGAACTAAGGAAAGGCAGAAACAAAAACGAAAAGAAGAAAATAAAGGAAAAAAAGGAAAACATCGCAAAAGAAAGATAGAAAGAAATTGAAACAGATAGATAGATAGATAGATAGATAGATAGATAGATAGATAGATAGATAGAAACAGACTGAGATAGATAGATAGATAGATAGATAGATAGATAGATAGGAACAAGCTGAGGTAGATAAATATGAAAAGGCTAAGAAAGAAAGTAAGAAAGAAAGAAAGAAAGAAAGAAAGAACTAAGAAAGAAAGAAATTCGGTATGAGCTAAGGAACGAAGAAAGGCTAACTAACAGAAAATCAAAAAAAAAAAGAAAATTCGAATTTATGAAAGAAATCATGGAAAAAAAGAAGTGAAACGAAAGGAAGAAAGAATAAAGAAGAGTAACTGAATGAATGAATGAATGAATGAAAGGAGAAAGGGACGCAATTCAATCATTATATTAAATTAGGCAAATAACAATCAGAAAAACAAAAATAAAAGAGAGTCGAATTTTTGTATGATTTTGAAATAAGAAGGTGACAGGAATATATAGTATAAAAGGTAATATTTCTTCGGCTGATAAATAATTTAAAGAAAAAAACAACATCGTGATAACACAGAGAAGCATGTGATAAAACAAAAAATGGAAAATTGAAACTGAGAAATCAGACTATCATAGTGAAAAGAAATATAAGAAAAGAATCAGCCGGTAGAATGTTCTAGAAACCGAGATGGACAGAGAAAAAATCAACGTAGGACGCTCGAAGCAAATGTATTGTGGAAAGTCGATGAATTTCTACAGAAAAAGGAAGCAATAAATAAAAATAAATTGCAATGAGAAAAAGTAAAAAACCTGTAATAGAGACACATTTTAGGATGTAATGAATAAGAAAAAATAACAATTAAAACATAAACCAATACACGAGGGATGATGAAAAGATCGCAGCCTAAAAAGAGATTTTAAAGTCTGTTACTTGGTCCTAAAAAGAAACCGAAGTAAGAAATTTTCAGAAGGTTCTTTTTTTTTATACACCCACCTACAGACACGCAAGAGGATTTATAAAAGAGTAATGTCTTTTTTATTTATTAATCCCACATATTTCATCATTTTATACAGGATTTATTTAGAGGATACATATACTTGAGTAGATGTCTCTTTATTTACTAAATATTATACACATTTATTTTCAACACACTGACTGAATATTCGGAAAATTTAAGAACATTCTGTTCGGCTTGACATTGGTTAAATTCTAATTTAAATCAAATAGTGTTATTATAAATGCCATATATATATATATATATATATATATATATATATATATATATATGTATTGAACAATAAAAAAATATTAAAAAATTATATTAAAAAATTAAAATCTTCAGACACACTGGGTTGTAGATTAATATTCTTTCGTTTTTTTTATTATTATTTCATTTAGATTCCTCGACTAGTTTTGGCTAAAATGGCCATCATCGGGAGAAAAAATATTTCTGCCTGCTGGTAGCAGTAAACTACAGAAATGAATGCCTTGATGGAGAAAATGAACTTTTCTCTGTAGTTTTCATTTGTTTTTTTTTATTTTTTTGTCTTTTTAACGTGAATCTTTTAACATTCCTTGTGTTGGTCAAACAGTCTCTTTTAAGTTGTTATTTGAGATAAGAGCTTCTCTGAATTCCCTTGGTTAGTTTGACAGTTTTATTGATCCTGGAGAGGGAATGTGTCTCTGTTTAGTGTTTGTGTGTGTGTTATTTGGTTTTTAGGGAGTGAGTGAGTATATGTGTAAGCGTGTGTGTTGCTGTGGGTGTGTGTTATCATTTGGCTCATTAGGGAGTGAATGAGTATGATGTGTGTAAGTGTGTATATTCGTGTGGGTGTGTGTATAAGTGTGAGGCCGACACACCTCCGTAAGCATGTCTGTCTTGTGTGGCTGAGAAATGTTGGTAGGTTTTGATTTGTTGAGTTATATATTAGTACTATCGATATTGTTAAACTCATGGTTTAGCCAGGCTGGATATTGTGTTTTTAGACGTTGTATCCACTTATTTTCATGGAACTCTAAAATTTTTCTAATGTTATCTACTCTGAACTTTTCTATTCTCTCAATTATAGTGAATTTGGCATGGGTTTTGAAATCGTGTTTTTCCAGGCGGAAATGTTGTTCTACAGGTAATAATTTTTTTATGGGGAGTTGACATAATTCGATTGCGACAATTATTAATTCTGTAGTGAAAGGGCCATTCAGATTCTCCTACATATTGTTTCAGGCATAGTGTGCATTCTAGGAGGTAAATTATGTTATGACTTCTACAGGTAGAATCGTGGTAGATTTTGAAATTAGATATAGTGATTGAGCTAGTGAATGAATTCGTGTGTTTAATATGGTTGCAACATAAACTACTTTTGTTGTTACATGGTTGACAAAATCCTGTTGTTTTTGTTCTTAGTTTATTACGGATTATCTTGTCTCCTGAAATGTGGTTACTACCTATGATTTCTTTTAGCTTCTTAGGTCTACGATATACAAGAAGTCCGGGTTCCTTAAGCAGTTTTTTTAGGTCTGGTTTGAGATGTAGTATTTCCCAGCGACGTTTGATTATTTGGGATAGTGGAGGCTGAGTGTGATTGAAAGTGGTTACTAGAGGAATGCGGCTAGATTAATTTTTAATCTTGTATATTCGGGTTTCTTCTCTAGGTGTGGAAATTGCTTTATTTCTTTGTTCCCTGATTAGGTGTTGTTTATAGCCATATATATATATATATATATATATATATATATATATATATATATATATATATATATATATATATATCAAATCAGTACGGCAAGGGCACCTTTAAAAGGCAAGGAACGGCAAAATATTTTAAGTCAAGTGATAGCGATTGCTGTATGAGTCGTACGATTTTTGAATCAAGCACGGGCAACGCCGGGCCATGCTGCTAGTAAATATATAAAGTAAAAGTTAAAAAATAACGATATAATATACAGTGAAAGTAAAAAATAACGAAATTTAAAAGAAAATTATAAAAAGTAAACTAAAAATAACATGATGTAGTGTTTTTAATTTAAAAAATTAGGAGGTCATTTAATATGCTACCTTGGTTAAGTTATGGTTGGAACCAATGTGGCGGATTCCACTGACTTTCTGATACTTTTAAAGTATATATATATATATATATATATATATATATACATACATATATATATATATATATATATATATATATATATATATATTTTATTAAAGACATTTTATTTATGTTTAACGTTGTTATTTTATAGATACAAGTATTTAAGCAAATGCTCTGTTTATGATAAACAGTATTAAATAACATTTATCGTCCATTTCTTAACATATATATATATATATATATATATATATATATATATTAAAAAACAGACAATCTTAAGTTCCATTATAATAATCTATTTCACAGAGCCCTTTAAAAGGACGCCGGATCATCAGATAGCACTTTCAAAAAAATTTTTTGGAAGTGCTATCTGATGATCCGGCGTCCTTTAAAAGGGCTCTGTGAAATAAATTATTATAATGGAAACTTAAAGTGGTCTGTTTTTATTTAAAAATATTAGCTCTGGACTTGCATTGAGCTCTCAAGATTTCATCCTCCTTGGGACTACCCATACGGATTACCAAGTTTTCATAACTTATACATATATATATATATATATATATATATATATATATATATATACTGACCTCCTATTTTTTTTTAAGTTAAAAGCTCTCCATCATGTTATTTTTACTTTTTTTTTTTGTCACGTGTATTGAGCACTTTTTAATACTACTGTTTCTCGTTTGATATATATATATATATATATATATATATATATATATATATATATTTAATATACTGTTTCTATATATATATATATATATATATATATATATATATAGAGAGAGAGAGAGAGAGAGAGAGAGAGAGAGAGAGAGTTGTATGGATATCATCTTGTAACCCTGGTTTTCACACTTTTGCGATCATCAGACAAAGTTATTTTTTTTTTTTTAAAATCGGGTCTACTTATGCTTATTTGATTATGTTTGGTGGTGGGAGGGTGAATTTTCCTCCGTGTCTCTTTGCGATGACACACACACACACACACACACACACACACACACACACACAAACTTACAAGTGTACCCTTTATAGTTCATAGAAACGCTCCCATACAGACATTACAAGGCCAGGAGCAGATACACATCCATGCTCTCAGGCATATATACATATGCAATATTAATTCACAATCTCATAACAATGCAACTGAATATTTTAGCTCTATCACTGATTTTGAGAGCTTTCCAGTAAGTACTACACACACTATATATATATATATATATATATATATATATATATATATATATATATATATATATATATAAATATATATAATAACATTAATTCATATATGATTCATTGATCGAAACCAATGTTGCTGTTTGATATTTGGCAATATGGTGTCATGTTGGTATTTTATGAGTGACTTTTGGTGTAAGTTTAATAGCTGTCTTTTTTCCTTCGAGTTTTGTAATCTTGCAGTTGCTGTTATGAGAAAAATCTATTATAAACAACACCTTCTTTATTTTATTTTACGACCAATGTTTCTTTCTCACAACGGAAAAAATAATTTTACGTCTGTTCTGTGTAACTTGATTTTTTTTTCCTGGTGAATGTAACCTACGTATAAAGTAACAATAAGTAATAAGTAATTAGATTGGCTAATATTAACTGTTATTTCCTAAGTATGGCAAGCGGAATGAGAAGAGATTTTCTTATTTTCTTCAAGGATAGAATACATTGTTCGATTAAAAATTGCAAGTACGAGCGACGCCTGAAGTAGCTCGAAGTGTATAGCGGCCAAAAGATTTTGAGTATCTCTAAAAGTCGAGTGTTTGAATGACAAGACATATAATAATATGGGTAGAAAGCTTATTAATATTCGCTAGTAGTGTGCCTAGGGGAGGGGTCATTCCGATTTCAAAACTCGGTTACATGGGACTCTTTAATCAACTTGATGACAACGCTACAAATGGCTACAGGTTTTATCGCTACGGTATTCAGCTTCCGGAACAGAATCAGATGATGTAACTTTTTTTCCCAATAGGAATTACGGGCATGAATTGTTATCGGTTTAATGGACAACGATTCGGAATGTAAAATCCGAGAGCCGAGTTCGAATTCCAGGTTAGTTAATTATATTCTCTTACGAGCAAAAACCCTTTGGAAAAGTATAAATTCATTTCTACTTACCCCCCGCTATGCATTAAATAGTAGAGCAGACTAACCTCTCTAGCTGAGGCTGGTAACCATTCCAGAAGAAGAACTCTGAAATTAAAACCATACTAATTGTCCATAACCCCAATGAGGATCGGAAGAAGCAAAAAGTAAAAATCTTAAGAGTGATAATTCGGCAAACATGGACCTTTGTAGCCGCAAA